ACCAGCGCATGTCACACTCGAGCGGAATGAAAGGGCGATCAAAACCGATCCGTCCGCCGCCAGAGAAGGCTTGTAAAAAGTCCTCTCGCGTAGCGCACAAGGGAGAAAAGGCAGAATGTAAGTCCAGGGAGGAGATTTGACACTCGGTGTGGTTTCGCCAGGCGTAGTTCTGAAAGGTGTCGATTGTGTCCGGTGCTCGATAGGTTGAGTTTTCTGGCGGTTCGAAGGCTGGAATGGAGGCAGTGGATGGGTTGTAGCCAAACTCGACATTGATGCAGGCAGAAAGACCAAGGTAGCGGCCGGACTGCACGTTTCAAGTCAGTTTGCGTTTACAATACAGCCTGAGGCCTGGGCCAGTTATACATACAAGCACGCCGTAGTGAGTCAACTTGCACATGAAGAACCACACCACGAAAAGGAATAAGAGAAGCTGGATGAAGCGGCGCTTGAGCAGAACACGCAGAGGAACTGGGCGGAACTCCATCTTGACCTCGCCGGCCTTGAGGTCGTCGACGTTGGGAGATGGGGGAGGAGAGTAGCCGGGGATGGTGTCAGGGCGGCAACGTCACCGCAGGGTCGTTAGGGAGATGGCGGAAGAACTATCCGCCGATCAGTACACGGCTGTGCAAGGCGGTGGACAGCGACATATGCGACGTGATTCGGATTCACTCACCTCATCGTGCTGTGACGACCGTCCGGAACGGAAAATCATCATCCCGAGATATTATGTGCTTGTTTTTCGAAGGTTGTCTTCGGGGTGATGCAGACGCCGTGTCCTGCCATCGTCTTCACTGCCATTGCCGTAATGCTGTCACAATGGACACCCCATTCACTGTTAGCTTTGAATGAGGTAGTCTGCCGGTCAAAGACTCCATTGTCAGCCCAATTCCCACGGCAACCTCCTTGGAGGTAGTTTAACATCCCTTGGGACCGCTTCCCCAATAACTCCCACCGTGATATCTTTGCGTCCAGCATGTCCTCATTCACCAAGAACAGATGAGGTCTTCATTGTGCACAGCGTGCTTCCTTCATTCTCACACACGAGTCGACAACCAGCCTCCAGATATGGGCTGCAGTGGCTCTTGCAACAGCGGTAGAGTCTTCTGCCTCCGCAATTCCACCTGTAGATTTTCTTCATCCCACCTCCTTCTTTCATTTCGAGCCTTTTCCAGCTGCTGCTTTGTGCCCAGACCGAGCCCAAAGAGCCCCTTGCTGCTCTCGATTTCTTGTTCCTTTTTCGCTGCAAGCCGCGCCATCTGTTGAGACATAGCTTTCCAGTTCTGGAGGCCGGTCTCCAAGCACTCTCGGCATCGTTCCCTTCCATCTCGCTCCTTCTGTTCGTCCATCACCCACATGATGGCTTCGGCGGCCTCAACGCTGTCTCTAGTCCAGCTAAGGCCTTTTGCCCGTTCGCTAGCGCTTGTGGCAAAAAGGATCTCGCCAATGTATGTCATGAGTCCTACCTCTTCACAAGCTTCCTTCAATGTGTGATATGGCCTTTCGTTCCCGGTGGGCGGAGGTGGAGGATACGGCCTCTCAACCAACAGATCTTTCAAAGCATACACATAAGACAACCATCCTTCCCCCTCCTCCGCAAGCTTGACTTTCGATGGTCCAATGGCTGGGCCAAGAGGGGAAGCAGGTAGAGTCTTCCTAGCTCGCAGAACGCTGAGAAATACTGGCAGGGCTTTCTTGACGTTTCCCCCTTTGACATGATGTACTCCGAAAGCAGTGCAGGCTCGCAGGATGTTGTCGCTCACGGCATCTTCTCGCCCTTTGAGAATTATCCCAGTCTGCACATCGACCACGTCCGCAGTTCCCGCTGGCAAGCCGGATTGAGCAATCTCTGCGGCTTTAACGTACAGATCCTCGGCTGTTCTGTCGTTGGCCTTGAAATCACACCAATCGGCATATGCCAGAGCAGCGTCAAGTCGTTGTCGGGTGTCAAAGCCAGCGGTGTTTAGTATTTTTTCGTAGAAAACATGCGGAGGCGGAAACGCGTCTTCAACTTCCTCCAAGGTAGGCGGAGTAATATGGCCTTGTTTCCTATAGTATGGAAGTGGTTTTGGTCGTGGATTGTCCGGAGCTGGGATACTCTCCCGTGGATATACACGGCCTCCTCCGACATCTCCTTTCAGTTTGCACATACCCTCCAAATGCTCAGCTACACGTGCAGCACCCATGAGAGCTTCGTGATAACCTCGTCGCCACTGCTCACTCTTGGCACTCACATCGAACCCTTCAGACTTGTCCACTGTCGACGACTCTATCTCTGCGTTCTTGACGAGGAACTGCCCATCCAGCTTCTTGCTTTCCAGCCTTTCAAGAACGCTTAGGTATAGCTGACCGGCTTTTGCCCAATCCGTCAGGATCTGGTTCCGCTTGGCGCCATCCGCAAGCTCTGTAAATTTTGCTTCGCGCATCCACCACCGGCTCCAGAACGACCAGTCCCCAGGAGTGGGATAATCCCGTTCAAGCTTTGTATGTACCATGCCCATAGACAGCACCGTGAGCAGGAGGGCCGCGGGCCAAAGGTAGGCATTGATTCGAACGTAGCGCCAAAATTGTTCCCTCCAGCGTTGTTTTCGTTCGGTCGAGATGAATCGCCCCACGTGGGTTTGGAGCGTGTTCCCACGGGGGACAGGATACAGGAAGGGCAGCTGGGGGCGTAAGATAGGTCGAGCCACCACTGACAGCGAAGTCTTGTGCGAGAAGAACCTCGGCCGCGGAGGTCTTGAGTAGAAGAAATCGCAGGTTGGACTGCAATAACGACAGGTTCTCGCGCTCGGGCGAGGGGACGGCGCCGCAAGCTTTAAGAACGCCATGGTAGTCCGCGGTGCTCAATCGGCGCCAGGGCCGTCGAGAATGGGGTGAGAGATGCCTCTGTATTGAGAAGATTGGATAGACGTGAACAGGAGAAGCGATGTCCCCTCTCCGCATTAACTCAGGACAAGCTCAGGACTTGGCGATCTCGACGGAGCATTAAGTGCCGAAGCGCAGGTTCTACGGTGGGGTAATAGTTCAATGATATCCAAGGCTGAGCTGCAACATGTTTCTCCCACCATTTTACATACTGTAGGGAGTATCGAACGAAAACCTATCCTCCATCTTCCCGTCGTGATAAGCCGCTCGCCGTTCTGTTCACCCTCGGCTCACCTGCTGCTTCCTGAGTGATCCCTGAGTGCTTCCGGAGTCAACCTTTTGGTCTTCCTCTTAATTCACAACACTAACTTTCGTCAACTTTAGACGCTGGGACCCGTCTCAGATACCAGGGGATCCCAAGCCAATGGGACTTGGCACTCGCCATATGGACAACGTTCCTTTACCGTATATCCTGACTTGGTGGTAAGCTCTACAATGCCCCGACTACACATTGACATAGGTAGCCCTCTAGTAGGTGCTGACAATAGACAGCCATCAGTCCGTAACCGTGAGCGACTGATGAACTATCCATTCAACATGAAATTAGCACGACCATGCCCATGTTAACCTCAAGGCTAACCACAAAGATTAGGAGATCTTCGAAAATATCTGTTGAGGAATACTTTTGATTTTACGCATCGCAAGCCAACTTTCCTCTCTGGCATGCCAAACCTCAAAGCGTGTACATGGCCATGGTTTGCTACAGGAAAACACGGGATACGGCCGTACAAATGTACCTCTCACACTAGCCAATAGAGACCCCAAGAGAGTGCATCCCACTCAAAAAGCAACCAACTATGCCGCCTGGTGCGTAGGGTGACTCGGTCCCCCAGGCTCCGACCTGGAAGGCGGCAGAGATTTGATTCTCCCATTCTCGACCGTAACGAACGAAGCCTTGACAAGTGGTATTTCGCACAAGGCGCCCTCCATGTTTACAACGGCCCTGCGTCATCGGAAAGTAGGAAGTGTGTCAGTAGGGAATACGTAAGCTGCCAGGGGAGCTGTTGATAGCCTGAGCTGTGTTAATAGTACTTGCATTGAGTTCTCTCCGTCTCCGTCTCCGCTCTTTTGGATTATCAGGTGTACTCATCCTGCCGAGACTATATACATATTGGTAGTGTCCCTGCAACGCCGACAACGCCGAGAAGCTGCCTCGAGTAAAGCCCCAGCGATTACGGCCAAGGAGGCTAAAACGCCTATTCGGGTGCGGCTGGCTCGGTACTAATAGACTAACAGTTCGGTTTCCAAGATAAAAATCTGTCCATCTTTGCGAACTCGTCGTTCAAAAAGAGCGACGATTGCTGAGTCAGGGAACAAACAAAAATGTAGAAGTTTGTGCTAATGCAATACTCGATCTCAGCCACATGTCACATTATTTCGTGATCAGTCGCAGAGCTGAGGCCAACAGCAGAAAATGGAGACGCTCCGCCTGTCTTCCTCCACACCAAGCTGATGTTAATGAGCAGGATTTATATTAGAGGCATTTTCTGCGCCTTGTCTCGTCAGGTTGTGTACAGTCTTTGCTGTTCTTTGCTTTACCGCATGTAACGAGGGCTCGTGGTCCCGAATTCAGCATGATACTGGTTAGTGGGCAGCGAGATCGGACCATGTGTGTGCTGGAAACCCCGCGATCAAAGAGGTGTCTGGTTTTCAACAGCGCTTGGAGTAGCGACTTCCGAATACGTCCACGATTTCAGCTTACGAAGGAAGAGAAGTCGGTTCTATCATAGACTAAAGTGTCTGGCTGTTAACGAATCGGGCATGGAAATTGCCCACATCGGAGCACTCTATATGGAGAAATAATGTTACAGATCGTGCAAAAGCCCCGCACGATGCTTGCCGGTTTCAATACAATCGGCAGCAAGCGTTCCGAGAGAGCGCTGTCAGTCCATCTTGATTGCTCGTTCGCTCAACAGGATGCCCGAACACCCATGTGAGGCCAGCGGCGCTGGATGGGCTTTACTATGTAGCACAAGCTGGGCTATCTTGGTGGACGGCCTCGCCGACCTGTGGTTCTCTTTCCTCCCCACCATTCAATCTCATTGACGGCCACTCTCTGTATGTTGGTTAGCAATTTCTCAAGTGAAATGCTCCCAGAAATCATCATTTAGAAAATCGCAGAAAAATGGTGTACGTTGCATGCCGATTTCGTCGTCTGTAAGCATCATAATGGTTTGTGCGGGACTTGGAATCGCCGTCACTCCGGGGATACTGGCTTGTTGTGCCTTGTACTTGGCTTCGAGGGCAGCCTTTATCCGCCTTAGTTTCTCCATAAACGTCAGATATAGCTGTGGAACAACTCGCGGTAGCTGGTACCACGATCGGGTTTCGGCTAACTCCTTGGCAGCATCGAGATGCCGCATCAATTTTTCCATGGTTGCGGAGAAGTCGATCGTCTTTCGAACGTATTCCTGGTCCCATCCGGCTGCCTTGAAAAGTGACAGCCTCGACAGAACCACTATTGCGTGGCCCAGTAAAGCCCAGACAGCGTAAGGGAGGTCGAACCATTCAAAGTTTGGGATGGTGTAGGCGGTCTCGAAGCATAGCTTGGTGGACTTCAAGCACGCGTAAAGCATGCTAAGGCGAGAAACAGGGTATGTCCCGTACCTTGAGGGGCCGATACCGTCGTTGAGTGCAGTCTCGTACAACAGGATTTCAATGGCATGATAATGCAGGAGAAGAACAGCTACAGTGGTTAGCTCAGAACCATGATAATGCACATTCAGCTCACCATTCTGGCCTCCTTCCGATAAGGAAGCTCTAAGCTGTAGCAGCTCCGACTCTAGTAGCTTGACACAAGCCCCGAGAGGAAATGAGGTGCATGCAGGGATGGTATGCCAATTCTCTGGAGTCAAAAAACGCGAAATTCTGTCTGCCAGGCCATGGAGGCGCGCCAGGTGTACGACAGAGAGATCTGTAGGATATTCCACAGCTTCAGATACGGCGCGACAACATTCGTCCACGTATCTCGAATACTGCACCGGATAGAGCTCTCGAGTCCACATGGAGACCCTGGATTGCAGGTTGTAAGCGATGAGACACAGTTCTCGGTTTTCAACACTCACGTAGAGATAAGGAAGAAGCAACCGAGAAATGTCCTACGTTCTTCCAGAGTCCTTGTGATCGACGAGCTCTGAGCAGCTCTGCTAGTTGGCCGCATGGCAGAGACGTCCGAGCCATCGTTGTCGAAAGGCTCCAAACAACCAAAGGAGGGCTTGAGAGTCTGCACGACAGCTCCATTGTTCAACCGAAGGTCGGACAACAATGCCATAATGAGGTGACCGATATTGCCCACCTGTGAGCTCTGATGGACAGGAACGTGATACCTACGTGGACAAATCGTCAGCAAATTCCCAACGCCAAACCCAGAATCTGCACTCACCAACTGAGATATACGAGGAGAGCCTGAAGCATGTCAAGGCTTTTCTTGCCTTGAACAAGCATGCTGTGGCTCACCATCTCTCGCAGCTTGTGTGCTATGGTTGTTTGTCGTGCCGGGTCTTGGCGGTAACAAACCATCAGGATCGCAAGGACGAGGAAGGGCTTCTTCTGCCTCATCTCCACGAATGTCATACTTGGTGGGATGACCACAAAAGGAAAGAGAGTTGTCATTTCACTGCGGAAACTTTGCAGGACTATTTCTGCCTCTCTGCCGTTGTTGATGGATAGATCTATGTATGCCGCGGGAGCCATGTCCACCGAGTTGAGAGACCAGGAAGTGATCACTCTGCTGGGAATCTGTTTCGAGACTGCAAGAATGGCAGATACGCCGTCTCGATTTTCCGCGGGTCTTACGGATGCATTGGCTCTTTTGCGTCGGTGAGCACCAGGCGCCTGCCCGCTACGATTCCTCTTCAGACGTTGACAACTAAGTCAAGGTTAGGGTCGGAATCCCAGCTTAGACTATGCCACGAGAGCAGACGCACCGCTTACAACTCATATATCCAGCGTCAATTTCGCACCGTACTTTGGCTCGGGCGCACGGCACACAAGCCTTTGGTATACGGCCGCTGTCGGTCTCGGTTGGTGGGGACAATGCTTGCATAGCTTGACCTGCGCTCAATGTCTAACGTTGTATGGTTCAAAGAGCACAGGACGTCTCCTAGAGCATGGAGGAGTGCGGACGAAAAGATCTTGATCTTGTCACCTTGTCGAGAAACGTGAGAAACCAGGCACATAGGTATAGTGTAGACACGGACACGGAGCACGGGATTCCGAATCCACGACCACCACTCCAGGCACCACCAGGTATTGCACAGGCCTACATACTCCCGGACTAAACCAAATGCAAAGGGACGGATTTCCGACCCGACGGCGCTATTCCTATTAAGAAGGAGGCCATGCCTCAATCTGTTCATGCGACGTGATCAAAAGTGGGTTATGTGTTCAACCCACCTAAATGAGGCCTTCCGATCTTCAGCATAGGTGATCTGTGGCCGTTCTTTTAAATTCCTCTGAGAATCTTGCCGTCGGCGAAGAGATGACCATGCGTCTTCATCTCGGTGAACTCGCCTTTCCATTGCAGACTTGGCTGCCACTGTAACCACGACACTTCCCTCATACATTGTCGAATGCCTGGCGAGTCTATAGGCCCCAAATTGCATTCAGTTCTGCGAGCATGCACAACCGTTACGTCTTGGGAGTAATTTTACTGGAAGTCGCTTCTCTGGTGGCGGCTCATGAAGTCGACGAAGCCCACGAGGCAGGAATTGCTGGTGCCGAGATACCTGGGAGCGCTGCCTCCAACAATGCCACACGAAGCGACCTTTACAGCATTTCCAGTTATGCGGCCATGTCTGAACAGTCGAGCGTGGTCATAGCCCACATTGTTTTGATGTTTGCCGCCTGGTTCTTCGTCCTGCCAATAAGTATGGTGCCTCCGATAGCTGAGAGTCAAATCCGAGTATTAACATCACTAGGCGTTATGTTCAGCATTGCGAGATCTCGTCTCGGGATTTTTACCCAGTCAATATTTATACCTTTGAACAGCCTAGGCGTATTACTTGGAATAATGTACAACGACAAGACGCCCGATTTGTATCAGAACAATGTGCATCACACGATTGGATGGATTGCAACTTGGGTCGCGACTGTCCACGCAGTCCTAGGCCTGGTATTCTTTTACACTGGACAACACCACAGCATGAGCTTGATCGCAGCCGGGAGAGCAGCGTTCTTCCCTCTAGTGCGGGACAGTCGTCAAGCATCCGGAGCCCCCCGACCTTGCAGCGGCCGCCATGGCTCGGCAATTGCTCTACATCGACTGAGTGAAGACTCCCAAAAGTCAGACTTTGAAGACATTGACGACGACGAACAATCTGCAGTGCGCATGCCTTGTCGACCAAATCGCCTGGGCTTAAGCTTCCTCAACAGGTTCTTGGGGACTCGACTCTCTGATGACGTATTACCTAGGTTGATGGGAATATTGAAGGCTCTTTATGACATTGTTGATCAAACTATTTTGGTCCTGGGTTTTCTTGCTCTGGTGACGGGAGGAGCTACATACACCGGCATCTTCGTAAGTCTCGGTGTGCCACCCGCAGCAAATTACTGACATGATCAAATCAGCGTGGCAACCACATCTTCAACGGCCTTGCTCATTTCATTAAGGGGGGTATTTTCTTTTGGTATGGACTCCTGACTCTGGGCCGGTGGATGGGCTGCTTTGCCGAGTATGGCTGGGCACGGAACATGAGATCCTTAACAAGCTCTGCTCCATCGGCCGAATTCGTCGAGTGTTTTTGCATTTTTCTATATGGGTTGAGCAATATGTTCCTCGAGCATCTAGCCGCATGGGGAGGTGCGTGGACTGCACAAGATCTAGAGCACGTCTCTATATCTATGATGTTTTTCGCTGATGGGTTGGTAAGTTAGCTTGTGAGATTGTATCCTTACAGTCCCAGTATGAGGCTGATAATCAACAGTGTGGCTTGCTGGTCGACTCCAAGAAGATCCGAAAATGGCTCGACACGACGATAGTAGAATCGGCTCGCATACATGACAACGCTCCAGGACTGCCCAGACCCTCTAAGGTGTGCAACTACTCGACCAACCCGATGCCGGCATTGATCATCCTCTTACTGGGCCTCATGATGTCCTCTCACCACCAGAGCTCCGTCGTGTCAACTACAGTTCACAAACAATGGGGCATGTTGCTCGTGGGATTCTCGGTGATGCGAATGCCTACCTATATTGTCATGTGCATTTCTCCGCCAGATTCAGTCTACGCAAGTCGGCCTCCGTCCGAATTAGTTGCTTCGTTCTGCTTGATATCGGGTGGCATTGTCTTCATGGCAAGTACTAAAGACATTGTCCACTGGATGGAAGAGGAGAACCTGATGGGTATGTTCATCTTTACAGTTGCGATGGGCCTATCAGCCTTTATCATGGCCTATGAGATTCTCGTGCTTTCGCTCAAAGGCTGGGCGGCGCGACGCGAGCTCAGGAAATAGTCGAAAGTCGTGTTTCCCGTTAATGCTGCAAAGAGTCTCGGCTCTCCACAATAACTGTCGACTCAATCAAATCTGGAAAGTGCGGGACAGTCTTGTAATGTCAATGCAAACGTACTGAGGCGTCGGTGGCTTTCCTACATTGTATACGTGAATTTCTGGAAGCCGATCCACAGCTCTTTCTATTACGGGGATGCTCAAACGACTACCTCTTACACTCTTTTTCGACCTCACTAAGCACAATCACGAGCGTCGAGGTGTCAAGCGGCTAGTGCGACTAGAAACTGTCCTCTCCAGTGATAGAGGATAGATTTCACTGCTTTCCAGGGTTCTTGAAGCGTCGTGGATAGAACAAGCCGCGAATTTCGGCGTTCATTGAAGCGCTTCCAGGCCTATGTCATCCGAGATTTTCACGAGACCGCCATTAACGATATCCACAACAAGACTTCTTTGAAGTAGGGATCTCTCAGCCGAAAAATGCTTCGTCCCATCTGGGTCATTCGAAAAATGTGAACACATGGTCGTACCCACCACGGATTTGCACCTGTCCTAGAGTTCGGAAAAGTACGTCGAAACTGGATAGATCTTTGTGAAGCCCATTCTCCGGGATTTGAACATTTAATCTAAGTTGTGCTCCGCTCTTTTAGCGCCGGCCATGGCTCTGAAGATACTGGGTCTACGTTGCTTGACGCGCAAGGCTCGCCGTGAAGTCAACGTCCTCATGAATCATTCCGAACTGCAAGCACACTAATCTCCTATTAACAGCATCTGACCTGCATACATGTGGCCCAGAATTTAACATCCAGTTACTCTGGCGAATATCACCTGTCCCTCTAGTCCCGTTCATGTCATTTCTTGGCCTTCACTTGCCGTCTCGCTCAACATCCGAGAGCTCAAGGTTTGAGTCTGCATTTTGCTCCATCACTGCAGCTGTTCCTGCCTGCTTCGAGAAGTATGACGGATACCAGACGTTGAAAATAACCATCACTGCTGCCACAGGTATTGCGTCGAAGATATAAAGATACGCCTCATGGCGAATGATCGTCCCCTCGAAGCCCTCAATGAATTCTGCCACGCGCACAATTGATCGAATCATGACGAACGTGCTCGCAATGTACAGTATCCAAACAAACTTCTCCGAAAGTAAAGAACAGGCACGAGGCACACCGCGCAATCGAAGGTGAAAAACCACTGCAACGGCAATGAAAAGTCCGAAAAGTACGATCTGAATGACCAGTCCGATCAAGACGATGTGGGAGCCTGTCTTTGCTATTGACGCTTTGCTGCTCGCCATCAGTCCGCCGCCTGGACAAAGTTAGAGCAGGTCCGGTGGGAGATTCGAACCCGCACGGTTACTAGATCATTCGGGCGTACCGCCCAGCTGGATGAAGAAAGAGAGCACGTCGCCCGATACGAAGGTCTTCGTCAACCACCTCTTTTTGATCAGACTGTAAGATTCACCATCCACACTGAGAATTATGCGACCCAGTACCATGTAAATGCTAGCCGCGAACAGGACCGGAGCGACGAGCAGAAGGAGGGTCTGGATGACACAGGGAGCGAGAGTTGGATCTGGTGCTTGCCCGTGAGATACTCCGCGAGCTGCATATCCAACGATTTCGAACTGCAGTCGAAGAAGTTAGCAGATATTTGGCCGGGGTCGGAGATGAGGGTGGCGGAAGTCGAATTAGACGACACGACGCACAGTACCACCTGTAAAACGTGGAATGAAATACCAAGTTCGGTGCTTGGCAATCAAGAATGCGTGCCATATGGTCGATACCCCGAAAAGAACAGTAAAAACACAGGCGGCGGCCAGCGAGGGATCGTAGCGCTAGAATTTGAAGTGTTCCTTTGAGTCTGACGACATCCTATAACGACGGCAGTTGTTGGTTGTGTTTGGGGGTTGCGAAATCTGCTTGGATGGAAATCATACCGCTTGACGGGACGAGCGAGTGGTGCCAAAAAAGGAGCTCAAACCCGACGATCAAGAAAGAGGACCGGGTGGAGGATGAGAATGAAGACAGACGCAATGAAGCCAGATATATACTACCAGCAGCACCGTACACCTCCTCTACATGGGCCAGGAGAGGACGGGATTCCGGTGTTGGATGTCATGGACGAGCACTCATCAACAGGGCATAAATCTTCGAGACGGAGCAATGCCAATAACACTGGCCAGAAACACTGATACATTGAGCGACATATTTCGATGGGCAGCCGGCTGACCATGGTTCGTGAGTGTCATGTACGGAACTCATGGCTAAATCCGAAGTATGCTAGTAATAAGGAGTCGACTCGGTGATCTGCGAGACAAACCCCCCAACCGGGCAATGGGCGGAATTCCGCTTGGTCGATCTTGCCAGATATTAATACTCCATCGAACATATCCTACTGTAGTAAGGCAGCAGAGCGGAGCCGTCCATCCCCCTTTCAATCCCACTTAGTTAACATCATTCCTCTCCACGAGAGGCGTCCTCTCCGAAGTTCGACCATGCAGCTCGGTCAAGTCCCTCAAGGTGTCCTAGTGGCAGTTAAAAGAGCTCCGAGCTAATTCCAAGAACTAAAGAATTGGTCTAGAAAATTTATTGTTGATTTTAGGTTCTATTACAGAAGAAGGGCACGTGGTAGGAATTAATTAGACGAATAGACTTGTTAAATCGAGAGTAAGGAGAGCATGAGATAGAAGGCGATTGGACGTGAGTTCGTGCACGATTTGTTTTTCAAAAGCGGTGCGAGGTGGGTAAGTCGGGAGGAAAGAAAGAATTGGCAAAGGAGAGGATGGCTATCGCCGTCAAAAGAAGTGGCGACGTCCAAGTTGCAAAACACGCCCAAAAACAACGGGACTGCTAGACTGAGGGTGGATTTCCCAGCAACAACTTACAAACGAGGTGTCGAGGCGACCGACTTGGGATTTAGGAAATTGAATTCTAGCATTGCTCTCAGACTCCCTTTTATAAGGGAATGCCGGAAAACTCTGCCATCACCAAATAGGACAAGTTGATCTGGTAAAGGGCAGCTATAGGATTCTTGAGGCGCCTGACCAAAGGAGACACAACCGCAGATAAATCCATTTGGTTAAGAAATCTGGACGGTCTTGGAGCAAGGGCGAACTTCTGACGGCTCTCCAGGGAATCCTAGCTTGTTTTCTGGTCCTTGTCAGAAGCTTTTCAGATCCTGGGTGACGCCTTGTCTCACTGAGATGCTTCCATAACACGGTACAGCACTTGCTTCTCCATCTCGCGCGTTCTTCATTTGCTCCGACGAGTGGCCATACCTGTCAACGCGACAGCGAACCGAGCCAATTCTTGATCCCACATGTAACCATATGGTGCTCCGAGTCATTGAACCGCTCAAGTTAGGTCGTAGAATTAGTACGCGAAGAATAAAGGTGGAGGTCATGAAGGGTCGGCATTCGATCTCAATTGCCTTTCTCTACAGGGGAGCCAGAAGTAGAGCCTAAGGGAATAAAACGGAACCCGAAACGGCTGGTTGACTTGACCACAAAGCTAGCCTTTGTTGGGGACTATCTTTCTCTTCCTTGAACACTTGGCCTTGCAATGGAAATCAGAAAGGGGCTGTCGATGGCGCTGAGTCGCAGCAAGGGAACAGGCGTAGATTCGTTTCTGTCAATTGGTGCCTATCGTCGTCGACGCTCGCTCGAGGTCCTCTGTACTCGATTGGTGGATCGCATGGTCACCGTGGAAAGGTTTGCTCATATAAATCCTTTGGAAATCGACCCATGCCGCAGTTTTGGAGCTTGGAGGGTGTTTCCTCAGCGATTTGGAGGTGATATGTTCCAAGGTTTACACTCGCCGTTGTTGTGGCATAGAATGACCTGTTACGGTAGCGTCTGCAGTCTATTGGACTGTTCATAACCAGAGAGACTGAAGCATTATTCCTCGACGCCAAGTGGAACATCAACTGCTTGAGCTGATCCTATGGGTAGCATTATAGGGTTAATGAGCTACAGGTCTCTGCGCTGCGTTTTTCGGCGTTTGGGGCGCTAGCGAATTTGAGGGAGTCTCCAGGCACCTGAACTAACCATTTTGGTTAAGCAGCGTAGTCAGCAATGTAAGGACAGGGGATCACCCAAGGATCTACTGGGTACCGAGCTTCCACACATTCGTCTGAAACAGGTGCCTGGCAGAGAGGTAGGTGTAGCCGACCGCTTGGGGGCAGTTTCGGCCCCTCCTTGTACTTCAGTGTGCTGCTCGGGGTGTGCTCAGTTAAAGCTCAGGTTAAAGCGGCCATCGCTCACCCTCTAGGATCAATCCGTAATATGGTAATTAGGCTTTTCGTTCGCGAGTAATCTAGGTACCTATGTAGGCAGTTGGCCTAATGGTCCAATACACTACACATTCTGCAATCGAGAGTCTGACCAGCTCACGAGCCCACTCCGTAGGGGAAACAACGTGAGTCAACTTCCTGCTGCCAAGATTTCTGGGCCTTTCGCAATCGATGTTGGCTGCTCCTCCTTACCAAGAGTGTATGCTGTCAGTTCTGGCCCTCGAGACATACTTTGGGCGTACATGGCCGATATGCCTTGTCACTGAGGGACACCCTTCTCCCACGGACCTGGGCCACATGGTTACCATTATCGCATCGAGGATCGAGACCATGTGTGCATTGCCGAGCCAAATAATGCCCGAGACAAAGTGTCATCTGGTTCATTTCAACTTCAACTACGGGGCAGATAAAGACAGCATGAGTCCTCTGCCGAACTCACGGATCCAGGCCATCCATATGGCTTGGCTGCCGAGCAGCCCATGTGGCGGGATAGGGTCCTAGGCTTCGATGCTACAGTATCTATCCATGTATGGCTGGGAAATCTTATCCGCGAACATCGAAGATTCCCCAATCGTCAGCACTAGCCATGGGTGCCTTAACTGTCTGCCATTGTCTTACCAACCTTCGAATCCGAATCTCGCCCCGAATATGACTCGTATGCAGGAGGAAAGGAGGTCTCTCTTGAATTTGTCTTCCCTCGGAGAGAAAGAGAAGGAACAGATATCGCAGGGCCTGGGAAAAGAGAAACCAGATTTTGAATTCCGGACTCCATTTCTGCTCAGAGAGCAACAGGGTCTAGACACTCGGCATAGACACTCTGATGTATAGGATATATGTGGGCAAGGCTCCACCACCTCCTCGACCTAGAGCACGCCTAAGAGGGAAAAAAAAAAAAATCCATCTCGTGAATGCAGGACCGCCTCCTTCGTAGCGTCTCCTTACGCCCGGAGAATCTAGCGATCCGATGCGTGGTTTGTCCTCCTCAAAGAGTCCCGAAACCTGAGATTACTAGCGAGTGACCACCATCCTCTTGACTTCCTGCCATGTGGTAAGTCGCTCTTACATCTACACCACTTCGACTGCGGTAGGGGGCATTTTCTCGTCCGGGCGTCCGCCCAGGGCGCGCAGAGCCGTTTCTGTATGTTTTTGTGGCCCGCCATCGATGTTGGGATGATTGATGAGTGAAGACAACTGACGTTTCAAGGCGGCGTCGAGTTTGCTTTTCCCTGACCTTTTTAACTTCTTTTCCGTCTTTGAACTTTCCTTGAGGGCAGAGAAAAGACCAAGCGATGTACTTTAGTCTCTTCCCCATTCCTCGCATACGAGCCGAGCTTTATATCAAGGATAATATGCTCAAGGCCAAGGCCATCGCCATCATGGAACGCGGAGAGGCGACAGTCCCTGCCCCGTTGCCCACCTGCTGCGCCAAATTCGAGTTCTCGACCACCTTCACACATGACAGGTGTGCCTCCGGCAAGGCCACGGCCTTCTGAGAGTTGGAAGAAGAAGAAACAACCGGTTCGTAGAAGACGGTCAGAACTGGCGTTATGCTGTAGAAGAATGGCGCGATGTCACTAGAGACTTCTTCTGAAGTGACCGTTTGAGTTTCAACCAGGGCGATGTTGTATGTCGTGCCACTCGAAATGCTGGAGGTGGGGTGGCAGCTAGTTTGGGAGACGGGAGCCTCGACAGAGGATTGAGGGCCGGTGATCTCTAGAGGAACCCGAGTCAACAAGCAAGTCTCTTGGAGGTTTCAACAGGGTCTCATCTCACCTTTGGGGACAATAGTGCCCCATGTTACAGTTGCTATTGAACACGACGGCGGAGGATTGGCTTCCATGGTGGTCTGCAGAGCGGTGCACACAGAGCGGTTGTCGGCATTACTTTTCGATCCAAGCGCCTGCACTTGCTGCCTGGCCTGAGACAGAAGATCATTGACACATACATCCTGCAGCGTCTGGCCGCAGGTTACTGTGCCATATTCCGTGACACCGTTGAGCGGCAAGCTCCTCGCGATCCCTTCAAAGAACAATGCACAGCCTGCAAATGCGGCCGGGGTCGCGAGGTTCATTGACGGGGGATAGCCTAGGTAGAAGTTCTTGGTGAACGTGACGTCGCTCGAGTTCGAGTTCGAGTTCGACGAGGAGGCGCCAACGGTCCAGGTGAGCGGTGCATTGTCAGGCGACAAACTGCTGTTGAAAGAGGTCGTGCCGATGAACGAACTCGTCGTGTTACCGAGGGTACAATCATTGTCGGCCCCACCGTTGCAGTCAAGGACATCACAGCCAACTACCTGAGAGCAGGCTTGCTGAAGGAGTAGCGATAAACATATCGCGAGGGTGGCCCATAGATTGCAGTGGAACTGGGCCACAGGCCCTCTTCTTCGGTCGGGGGAAGCAGGAGGCATGTTTCACGAGCAACGACAGCGAACCAAGGGCAGAAGAGATGAGGTCGAACAGAAGGCCATAACCTCTTACAAAAC